AAGCCCTTTGACAGTGATGTTTTGCCAAACCCAATGGCCCTGGGGTTCCTTTAAAGAAAAAGTCTATCAAGACGGGTGGTATTGATAAGGACGCTGGTTCTAGAAGCCAATCTTCTTCTCCAACTCATGTACACCCTCTTGGATGTGGTGGCAAATTGAACCAAGTGAACCATCCTTCAAGTGTGCCTCCAAAATCCAGTGTGAAGGAACTTGCAGCAAGGCCCTTGTGTTTAAAGCAGCCTGGGAAGATTGGTAACGTTGAGCAATAGTGTCATGAGAGGCAGAAAGGCCTGAGCCATTTGTGGAAGCCAAGGAACCTATCACGCTATTTAAAGTGATGTTGAAACCCAAACCATTCAACATTATGGCTGCTTTGTTGGGATATGGCTAAGGCGGAACTAGACAGGTTCAATGAAGACATTGCTAACCAATTCAACTTGAAGGAGAAATTGGCTACATTCAATATAAGGGCAGCAGCGAGACAAAAGGCAAAACATTAGCCTCTGGTTTTTTTCTTGTACTTGTTAACTCACTTTCTTTGTAATGATGGAGCCCGGACCTTTGTTTAATTTGTTAAGCTTTTGTGTCTCTGTAGCTTGCTTTTATAGGGGTGTGCCCCCATGCTTTGTATTCATACTTTGTTTTGACTTGACCTAATGCTATATTTACCAGTAACCATCATAATTCATGACCAAATTAAATCTAGGGCATGCATAATCGGGAATTGAAGCTTCACACTCTTCGACTATTCAACACTAATTGGCAGCAAGTGAAGGTAGATGCAAATTAGAAGCAAATGCTGCCTAGTGGTATGTTTTCTATCCCTCACCATTTAACTTATTTGGTTTGTTTGTCACTTTAAATACTTATTTTGAACTTTTAGGATTTCTAACCTTCTCTTTTATCATAAATGGAATTAATTAAATTTTTGTGCAGGATTCTAATGATGTATTATGATTTTTCCCATATTTGTGTATGTGACCTTATATAGATGATTTGAATCAAACTACTACTTCTAATGTTACTTTTTGATTCTCACAAGAATAATTGGAAAGTAACAAGTATCATTCCCCCCCCCCCTCGGAAAGGTTGTGTTCTTTAAATTTACCCAATATTGGAAGTGTTGGTTCTTGCTAGGTATGTTTCCTTCTTTTTAGGCATTTAGATAGAAGGTCCTTAGAGGTTAGACAACATTGTGGGAGCTTGCTTGAGCACAACAAGACATACTTGTTTTATATTTCTGTGCGTAAAGTTCTGGAGCCTCAGCTTCAACTTGTTTGTTTTTGTTTTGTGATTTAAAACCCTGCAGGTTCAGCAAGCCTTTTAGATATATCAACCTCATTCATTGATTTGCAGCAGCTTTGGCATCTCCTAATAATGGAACGACATAACTTGGCTAAGATTTTTGTTATTGGGTTCTACAACATGCATCTTCTAGTTGATTTGGATTGGTTGTTCTTTCTTAGGTTGGCTAGTACAGGGGTAATATGTTGGTGCTTGGTTTATAGTAACTTGCAAATTTGTTAGAACGAGATTTCAGTAAGTTGTGTTCATTAAAGCAAGTCACAATTATATGTTCTTAAGAGGCTGATTGATTTTGAGATGTCTACACATTACCTTCCCTTGGGAATTTTTTTGTTTTAGCTGGTGGTACAGAACCTGCTGCGAGCCTACAACATGGAGGCTATCTCGTGCCTTCTTTCTAGGATTTCCTTCTAAAGACACAAGAAACGGCTAGCTACATGCTGATCTTTGGCTTCTTGGAGCATTTGGAGTCCTCAGCTTAACTGATGAAAAGGACATACTAGTATATATTTGCTTTGGAACATTTGGAATGCTCTTTGGTATAAACCTATTATAATCTAGGAATAGCAGTAACATGGTTTATATTTCTTGGATTTGTTGTAATAGTAGTGATTTGGAATTTTCCTTCGTATTTTTTTCTGAGTTTGATTTGGTCGTCATGTTTGGGTCAGGACCACCCACTCTCGAATGTACTCTGCCTTTCATAGTAATAAAACTATTCTTTTCATGTACTCTGCATGTGTGCGTGTGTATAGTTTTTTATGTAGCAGATTTATAATATAAGCGATGTATAAAGCCTCATTGGATACTATGGGATACACTTTAGACAGCGGATGACTATGCCTTTTTCCATCGAAAAATAACCGATGTCTATGCAACCGATGGGAAAGGTCTCATGTTTACACATCAGATATTTATCCGCTGTGTAAGGTTTACGCAACAGATATTTAACCGCTGTATAAACATTACACAGCGGTTCAATATCCGCTGTGTAAACCTTACACATCGGTTAAAAATCCGATGGGTAAGCATGAGACTTTTCCCATCGGTTGCATAGACAACGGTTATTTTGCGATTGGAAAAGGCATAAATATCCGCTGTGTAAAGTATTGTTTGTAGTAGTACTTGGGGCATCCCCCTTTTGTCCAGCAATAACTATTCGGTGGTACCAAACCAAATTACATCTGTGCACAGATTCTAGGATTCTAGATTGTCATGCAGTCGATCTATTGGCCTCTAACTTTGTATATTGTATACTACCAATATCCTGATATGAATTATAAACTATTTCCACAATATCTAAATAATGTTGTAACACCAAAGGTAATATCTTGTATTTACGTTTTTTTATATTTCAATCAATATAAAAACTATGTGCATTCCATACTAGTTTAAAGCCAAATTAAGATACATGCTTGGAGGAAGCATTGAGACGTGGCCGTACCTGTAGAACAATTTTTTTTAAAAAAATAATTTTTCATTCTCTTATTTCTTGTAACACCCGCTTTCCGTGGACCCGGTTCGCCCGCGACCCAATGGACCGGTAGGGTTACATGGGCGATCTGAGAACCGTCCGTAAAGAAAAAAGCATTAATGTCTATTTATTGTGAAAATGGTTGAGTTTAATTGGTGAAATAAATGCTAGGGAGTTAATCCTAGAACGTGTGTGATATAAATGCAGAGTAAAAGCGGAAGTAAATAAATAAGTCCAAAATAAGTAAAACGACATTTGATGGGTTCTTGCCCAAATGTTTAATTTATTTCAAATGATTATAATTATTAAACTCGTCCGTGCGCTGCCCATCTTCCCATCATCACTATCCTCCAGGGTTAGCACCGGTACTGACATGTCTACCTGCGTGTAGCAAAAACAACTACACGCTCAGCAAAAGCTGAGGAGTGAATCTAACAAAAAAACATTAAGTGATAACCCATATGGTTATACACATATTAATACCTGTACTTTAACGTACGGAAAACCACATGTTTACTAACTGATTAATTTGCACTTGATGGGATATTATTACACATAACAAATGAATAACAACCACATTGAATGTTGATGTGACATGGAACATACATGATGATGACGACCACATTGAATGTTGACATGACATGGAACACACATGATGACGATATGACTTGATGCATGACTTAAACTATCAGGGACACCCCTGGCTTAGTCTCACTTGACAGGATCACCCCTGCACTCCGGCAATGAGCCGGGCTCGACAAAAATGTCGCAAGTGAACTAGCAAAACTGGGTGGTAGCCGTAGCCTGACTACCATGTACGTACACAAAGCCCACTTGATGAAAACCCGTTGGATCCCGAAGGTTCCTGGACGGGCCAACTGTAGTAGGTGCACGGAAGCCTGACCTCCCTACAGCGGTATGCACATGATGATGAACCTAGTACATGCGTCTAGGATGAACATGATGAACGCTTGATATATTTACCTTTGGTCAACGCCAAGAATATATCAATTAAACAACATTTATAATGAAGATTAACATTCCATACAAACATATAATCAGATTCTGAGTCAATTTGGTCAACGGGGCTCGTTCTACAAACTGCCCGGAATTTTTCCCGCGGAACGGTCGACCGTACGCTACCGGTGGTCGACTGTGGGCTACGTTGTGGAGAACTTGAATGCCGGCGGTCCACCGTGGTCTTCCGTCGCGGCCGGCGGTCGACCGTCACGGTGGTGACCGTCGGAATGGTCCGTGGCGGCGGTCGACCGTCCCGAAGACAGTCTGCTGTCCCATGCTTCGTTTTGATCCATTTTGCTAATTTAACACTTAGATTCTTTTTAGAACAATAATACAACATTGATGAATATATTCCTAGTGATTCCTAGGCCAATATTTATGCATTTTACGTAGTGAACGTTTTGATGGCTAACCCACGAACATGCATAGATTCTACGTAGGTTGCGTACAATATTCCTATGAATATAACGACATAGATAATAACTTAATGTTCTAGAATTAGAGGGGACAACTACTCACCTCTAAATGAATGGGTTTGATGAAACGATGAAACGAGATGAACGAATGGTTGACAACGTTGAACGACGAATGGTTTCTCGTGGACACCTCCTTCTTCTTCGATCTCGTCCTTCTCCTTCTTTCTCTTCGCCGGAGCTCCGTCGTCTCCTGGGATTCTACTGGCCGGTGTCCGTAAGGAAGAGGGAGAGAGAGGGAGTTTGTAACACCCCAATCCGTATAACCCGGAATTACACGAATTAAGGTGAAACGAGAGTTAAATAAAAATTTCACTTGACATTTGAAGATGACAATTTCTTATAAATATTAAATTTACAGACTCTGGATCGCGACCCATTTAAAAATATTTTCAGAGTAATGCGGAAGTACAATATTAATCAAATCATGACACATTTTAAAATCTGATGATCAAACATTTGCCTGCCATCCTTGCATCTCCTCTGACTCAATGTCCTCCGGGAGTGGTTTCATCATTGTCTTCTTGTTACGTACGTGTAGTCAACGAAAAATACAAACTACACACTCAGCGAAACCGCTGAGTGGTACCACGCTAGAATTGTAGAATAATTCACACACATATACATATACATATACATATACATATATATATACATATACATACATACATACATACATATATATATATATATATATATATATGTCCACAAAAATGTATATTAAAAATTATGATATGGCACATTATATCATATGGTCAATTTGATGAATCATGATAATAAATATTTAATGATAATTACATGAAGGCACATTTAATCAAATTTGCTTGTGAGGATGATTACATGATACTTATTTAATCAATATACTTGTTCTTGATGATGATTACATAACACCTATGTAATCGATGTACTTGATGCATGATTCTAAGACGCAAGGACGAGCCTTGAACTATGAGATTCGCCCATTTGGTACGACGAACTCACGCAGAAATAGGGGTGGTACTTAAGTACCATGTACGTACACTAAGCCCGGTCCGTGATGTCGGACTGCTAAGTCCCGCACAATCACAACTATAAGAGACGCAATTATGCATGATCTCTTACACATGCACATGATGTGATATGCTTCAATATAAATGATGAAATGAATGACATGATGTGAATAATTTGCAAACAATATGAATATATAATCATGCATTAGTTTAATTTATTTGGATGAAACATGATTAAAATATCATTTAAATAAGTAACGGGGCTCGGAACGGTCGACCGTGTGACGCGGCGGTCAACCTTGATCTTCATCTCGTCGGGCTGGCGGAACACCGTGACGGTCGACTGTGGTTGACCGGCGGTCGACCGTTGTTGACTTCCTAGGAACGGCGGTCCACAGTTGGATGGGCGGCGGTCGGCCGTCAACCACCGGCGGTCGACCGTTTGGCTGACAGTCGTGGTTCGTTTCGATGTTTAATACGACGGTCGACCGTTTGCGTTGACTGTTTGGGTCTGCGAATGTTTCTCTTGATATTTTGAGTGTCCAAAAATACTTCTTTAAGTCTTTTAAACACCTTTGATTAATATATACATATTTTTGGGTTGATTTCAAATGTTTATATATGCTCATGTATTTATATAATAACTTTATGGATTTGGTGTATTATGGTCTTAACACAAAGATGACTTATATATGCACCACATATATATTTTGGAATGATTTCAACAAATGGATTAACATATATGTTCATGTACGCATGTGATGAATGATTCGACAAGTCTAACGCAAAGGTACAGACCTGGAAATCATTGGCCAAAACCTTACGGATGAGAGGGAGTGGAAACAACATTGAAATTTGCCAATTTTGTCATTTCCGTCACAACTGGACAGCCTGCGGTAATTTGGGCATATCTCCATCGTTTCTTCACGGAATTGTAAACCGTTTGATTCTGTGGATTCCTAAGATGTAAGGCTACATTTTTCGTATAGAAAGTATTTCGTTTTAACAGATGTAAGATAGCGTAAATCGGACCTGAAGTCAATGGAAAGTTGCTGTCCAGAATTTCGGCTATGTCGATGAACACGATTCCGACGATTAACTCACTAATTTCAACATTCCAACGCCGAACCCTCTCTACGATACCTTCTGGATGTTCCTAATAATTTTTAGAGAGTTTATGGTAGGTATTTTGAATGAAATAATATGAATTTGGTGAAGAAAATGGTCCAACCCGAGGAGCTCGCCACCACTGGCGCAGTCCCGGTATTTTGGCCATATCTTCTTCGTTAATTAACGAAATCGCGAGCCGTTTGTTGGCCTGGATTCGTATCGTCCGGGGCTACAACTTTGTTTCAAGAAGTATTTCGAGATAATGGATGGAAAATTTCAGTTTTTACCTAGAAGTGGGCTGCTGTGTTTGAACTCATCAGGATTTTAGAACTTTGGATGGTTTTCTTGCTTCTTCTTCTTCTTCCTTGAACCAACTATGGAGATGAACTTTCTTTTCTTTTCCTTTGGTTTGGCCGACAGAGAGAGAGTGGGGAGGGGAGAGATGAGATGATGGTGATGATGGTTGAACATGATGATAATGATGAAGATGGTGGTGGTGGAGTATCATATATTTATTTTTGGAGTGTTGTGTTAATGGAGTTAGTGGAGAGTTGAAATCTTGGGATTGTGAGCATCACAAAGGGAAGCTACGTGATTTGGGAGAGATTTGGAAAATAAAGTTTTGGCTTCTTGCCAAAACTGAACAATTTACTCCAAACGGTACGCGCTTTTTCACCCAAACTGCTCCGAATCAGAAATGGGTTACGTTTTTGGAATGAGACTGTCAAAACTAGAATTTTGATGTAATCGAAATATTTTTCTGAGAACTTTTATTTTTCTCAGTGTTCAGGTTTGTCTCAGTCATAAATAAATTTTATAGTATGAATGAGATATAATTATATGAATTAAATCCAAATGATAAATATGGTGTTGTGAAGTGTCAAAGATTTAGATTTCTAATCTTATGAAATCTCTTTTGAATTGAGTTTATTTTATGGGTCAAAGTTACAAATTTTAATATTTAAAATTGACATAACTTGAAATCTATAAATCAGATTGGTTCTTAAAATGTACCGTTGGATTCGTCTCTTCGAGACATATCCATAAAAAAAATAAGTTTTAAACAAAAAGTCATTATTTTGAAATCCTTTTATTTTTGGTCAAACGTCTAAATATTCTTCATTGGTCAAAATGATATTCAAATTTACTTTTGTTTTATAATAAATTTTAGGCCATATTTTGTGGCGTTACATTTCTTCCCCCCTTAAAGAAATTTCGTCCGCGAAATTTCCTTAGGTGAAGTCATTTAAAATGATGATGTGCAAAATAATGAATATTCATTGTTTTTAAAACACAAATTTTGAAAAGTTGTTTTCTCTTTCTTTTGTTGAGTGTCATGATTATGACATGTTTTCTTACGAGAAAAGATATACGCGGATAATAGATGTAACGTGTTTGGATTTCTTTTACGAAGACTTGCGTCCAAAATAATCTTAGACTTGCTCTTTCTGTATTGTAGGAGTTCTCAAGAGTTCTTGTATAGACTGCGTTTCTTGAACGTGGGGTAATTTACGATTTTTTTTTTGAAATTCTTTTAGAATCATCCTGAGACGACTTTGTCTGAAATGTTGGTTTCACAAATTACGCTTCGTTGTGTACAAGCTGGAACGAATTGTTTGATTGATTTTTTTTACATAACAGTATTTTGGGACATGACTATTACCATAGTCATCATTCTAGGTTTTCTAGATGAATACGAAATTATAGTTTCAAAACTTAAACTCTCGTTAGCGATCCTTAATAGAGTTGTTCTGACTAACGTAATGTCAATAAGCTGATTAAAGCTTGTTTGTAACAGTTAACAATAATATATGTTTTTATCACATTGAATGATTGGATGAACTTTTTGATAACATTGGTCATTTTGTCACTGTTTGTATCATCAAGATGATATGTAATCATTCTTGAATACTGATTTTCTAATTGATGATTCCAGAACTACCTTGGAATTTTATACTTGCTCAATGATTATGATAGAGCTTCGTGCTCGGAAATTATAATATTAGTGTATTCGTCATATCACTAATATTCTTACTTCACACAAGAGTTGGTTTACCTATTATCAAAAACATGATACGTTATACACATAATCCTATTCTAATACGTTTGGGATTCTACAGATCCATACGTGGTTTTTTTGAAGATCGGTATCATAAAACATCTTTTTGGTTTGATGGAAAATTATGAGTTTAATCAAGTTCTTAATTATTTTTTTTAAAAAAAATATATAATTCAATCTTTTCAAGATTGATCAAATGAGATGCTTTAAGTGTGTAATTAACACAGCAAGTTTTAGTATTTTGAGGATATAGGTCACAAGATACGAATATAGCATTTGTGAATTATTGTGGCAAATAGTAGGTTTTCATCCTTTAATGTTTCACTCTTTGGAAGTTACTCAAGGGGTCATTATCTTAGGTAAAGAACCATTTTGACTTTTTGTCTCGGAATTGAACATATTTAAGAACAATGAGCCTAACTATTCCCGAGTCTCAATATGTCATGTCGTCAGCAGACTATAGTATTGGTGAGTACATTCTTGTCTGGAACGAATCCACTTTCCTGTACGTTTTTAGGCTGGTGATAATTACTTTTTCATCAATGGTCCAGTTTCAGAGTCTATATATATCAAATTGGGCAAGAGTGTCTCACATTCTCACATTATGGAAGGAACTTCTCAAGCTCTTCCTAATACCATAAGATTCGTTGGTCTACTTGGTAGTCATGCTCTTGGTAGCAATCCAAGGTTCATGGCTACAGCGGTTGATCTAGGACGGGAGTTGGTAAGGCGAAAAATCAGGCTTACCTACGGAGGAGGCAACGTTGGCCTTCAAGGAGCTGTAGCTTCAACAGTCTATAATAATGGTGGTAGAGCCAGAGGTTTCATACCAGGGTATATAGCAACACGAGGGGTCTATGGACCAACATATGGTGCAGAGTACACTGTCTCCAGTAATTACTACAAGTATTTCGAGATGAATCATATTGTGGAAGCCTTCATTGTACTTCGTGGAGGAATTGACACTATGGAAGATTTATTCACTTTGATCTCATGGGCATCCGAAGGGTTACACAGTAAACCCATTGGTCTTTTGAACATTGACGGTTATTTCAATAACCTAATCAAGTTTCTAGATGATGCGGTGAGGCAGAACTTCATGGCTTTGAATCAGAGGAAACTGTTCATTTCTTCTTTCTTTGTTGATGAGCTTTTGGACAAGCTAGAGTTTGCTAATGCTTTCCCATGTCCTGGTGCTAGTTATGATGAGTTTGCAAATCCTGGAAGGTTGGACTTAGAGTTGCATTTGTAATATAATATTATCCATGTACATTATGCGTTAGTCATAAATATCGTTCTAAGCTGCATGACCAATGCATTTCAGAAGAGTATTTATTTCCAACATCAAAATGTACCATGTAAATATTAATCCTTTTCTTTATCTTCTAGTCTTTCATTGTTGGTGTGACTGCTTCAGCTCTTGTTTTGTGCTGTCATCTTGTTGCGACTTTTCACGTGAATGAGTTAATTATCTTAATGTTTGTATGTAGATTCACCCCTATAATGCGTTTCAGATTTCGATACATATGACGTATTCAATCTGGTTTGTGAGGCTCTATTCTCTTTCTTCAGAAAATGACAGATTCACTTTTTGGGGAATTTGTTCACTTCCTATCAGAGAAAGTTCTTTCTTCAACGTATTCTTCAGGTTGTGAGAAGTTGATTCACATCGTTTGCTTAGCTATTCGTGTATTACGACATACGAATATGACGCGCTTATCAGGTTTATTGTCCCTTTCTTGATCTTCTGATGTCGACTGTGATGGTTGAAGAATATTCTAAGGCAATCTAAACTTTATTGCAATCGGGTCTATGAGGATATTAGCAACTCAAAGGAAGCAAATTTCAATGAGTTAAGATTGTGTGTTATGCCATAGTAACTTACTTGTTGATTACCTTCCCGGGGCAGAGATGTCGCGGAGGATGCGGATGCAGGACTTGAAAATACCGACTCAATGATCCGAATATCGTTTTTCTCTGATACCAAAATGTAACACCCCAATCCGTATAACCTGGAATTACACGAATTAAGGTGAAACGAGAGTTAAATAAAAATTTCTCTTGACATTTGAAGATGACAATTTCTTATAAATATTAAATTTACAGACTCTGGATCGCGACCCATTTAAAAACATTTTCAGAGTAATGCGGAAGTACAATATTAATCAAATCATGACACATTTTAAAATCTGATGATCAAACATTTGCCTGCCATCCTTGCATCTCCTCTGACTCAATGTCCTCCGGGAGTGGTTTCATGATTGTCTTCTTGTTACGTACGTGTAGTCAACGAAAAATACAAACTACACACTCAGCGAAACCGCTGAGTGGTACCACGCTAGAATTGTAGAATAATTCACAGACATATACATATACATATACATATATATATATATACATATACATACATACATACATACATACATATATATATATATATATATATATATATATGTCCACAAAAATGTATATTAAAAGTTATATACATATACATATACATATAAATATACATATACATACATACATACATACATATATATATATATATATATCTATATGTCCACAAAAATGTATATTAAAAATTATGATATGACACATTATATCATATGGTCAATTTGATGAATCATGATAATAAATATTTAATGATAATTACATGATGGCACATTTAATCAAATTTGCTTGTGAGGATGATTACATGATACTTATGTAATCAATATACTTGTTCTTGATGATGATTACATAACACCTATGTAATCGATGTACTTGATGCATGATTCTAAGACGCAAGGACGAGCCTTGAACTATGAGATTCGCCCATTTGATATGACGAACTTACGCAAAATAGGGGTGGTAATTAAGTACCATGTACGTACACTAAGCTCGGTCCGTGATGTCGGACTGCTAAGTCCCGCACAATCACAACTATAAGAGACGCAATTACGCATGATCTCTTACGCATGCACATGATGTGATATGCTTCAATATAAATGATGAAATGAATGACATGATGTGAATAATGATTAAAATATGAAATATATTCATGCATTAGTTTATTTGGATGAAACATGATTAAAATATCATTTAAATAAGTTACGGGGCTCGGAACGGTCGACCGTGTGATGCGGCGGTCGACCTTGATCTTCATCTCGTCGGGCTGGCGGAACACCGTGACGGTCGACTGTGGTTGACCGGCGGTCGACCGTTGTTGACTTCCTAGGAACGGCGGTCCACAGTTGGACGGGCGGCGGTCGACCGTTAGCCACCGGCGGTCGACCGTTTGGCTGACAGTCGTGGTTCGTTTCGATGTTTAATACGACGGTCGACCGTTTGCGTCGACCGTTTGGGTCTGCGAATGTTTCTCTTGATATTTTGAGTGTCCAAAAATACTTCTTTAAGTCTTTTAAACACATTTGATTAATACATACATATTTTTGGGTTGATTTCAAATGTTTATATATACTCATGTATTTATATAATAACTTTATGGATTTGGTGTATTATGGTCTTAACACAAAGATGACTTATATATGCACCACATATATATTTTGGAATGATTTCAACAAATAGATTAACATATATGTTCATGTACGCATGTGATGAATGATTCGACAAGTCTAACGCAAAGGTACAGACTTGGAAATCATTGGCCGAAACCTTACGGATGAGAGGGAGTGGAAACAACATTGAAATTTGCCAATTTTGTCATTTCCGTCACAATTGGACAGCCTGCGGTAATTTGGGCATATCTCCATCGTTTCTTCACGGAATTGTAAACCGTTTGAATCTGTGGATTCCTAAGATGTAAGGCTACATTTTTTGTATCGAAAGTATTTCGTTTTAACAGATGTAAGATAGCGTAAATCGGACCTGAAGTCAATGGAAAGTTGCTGTCTAGAATTTCGGCTATGTGGATGAACACGATTCCGACGATTAACTCACTAATTTCAACATTCCAACGCCGAACCCTCTCTACGATACCTTCTGGATGTTCCTAATAATTGTTAGAGAGTTTATGGTAGGTATTTGGAATGAAATAATATGAATTTGGTGAAGAAAATGGTCCAACCCGAGGAGCTCGCCACCACTGGCGCAGTCCCGGTATTTTGGCCATATCTTCTTCGTTACTTAGCGAAATCGCAAGCCGTTTGTTGGCCTGGATTCGTATCGTTCGGGGCTACAACTTTGGTTTAAGAAGTATTTCGAGATAATGGATGGAAAATTTCAGTTTTTACCTAGAAGTGGGCTGCTGTGTTTGAACTCAGGATTTTAGAACTTTGGATGGTTTTCTTGCTTCTTCTTCTTCCTTGAACCAACTATGGAGATGAACTTTCTTTTCTTTTCCTTTGGTTTGGCCGACAGAGAGAGAGTGGATAGGGGAGAGATGAGATGATGGTGATGATGGTTGAACATGATGATAATGATGAAGATGGTGGTGGTGGAGTATCATATATTTATTTTTGGAGTGTTGTGTTAATGGAGTTAGTGGAGAGTTGAAATCTTGGGATTGTGAGCATCACAAAGGGAAGCTACGTGATTTGGGAGAGATTTGGAAAATAAAGTTTTGGCTTCTTGCCAAAACTGAACAATTTACTCCAAACGGTACGCGCTTTTTCACCCAAACTGCTCCGAATCAGAAACGGGTTACGTTTTTGGAATGAGACTGTCAAAACTAGAATTTTGATGTAATCGAAATATTTTTCTGAGAACTTTTATTTTTCTCAGTGTTCAGGTTTGTCTCAGTCATAAATAAATTTTATAGTATGAATGAGATATAATTATATGAATTAAATTCAAATGATAAATATGGTGTTGTGAAGTGTCAAAGATTTAGATTTGTAATCTTATGAAATCTCTTTTGAATTGAGTTTATTTTATGGGTCAAAGTTACAAATTTTAATATTTAAAATTGACATAACTTGAAATCTATAAATCAGATTGGTTCTTAAAATGTACCGTTGGATTCGTCTCTTCGAGACATATCCATAAAAAAATAAGTTTTAAACAAAAAGTCATTATTTTGAAATCCTTTTATTTTTGGTCAAACGTCTAAATATTCTTCATTGGTCAAAATGATATTCAAATTTATTTTTGTTTTATAATAAATTTTAGGCCATATTTTGTGGCATTACAGAGTTGGATGGTTGTGTGTTAATGGTGTTGGGGGGGGGGGGTTACAAATGGTGAAGGGATGAAGGAGAGAGGGTTGTATATAATGGTGGTGGTATAATGCGTATTAATGGAGAATTAAAAATGGGAGAATGAATAAGGATGAGTAGCGTGTGGAATGGTTTTGGGAGTTACCTCCCTTAAACTTACTCTGTTGTGTAAGTTCTGACCTCAACAGTACACGGTTTTCCCCCCGAACTGATCCAGATCGAGATCCGTTTGTGTTTCCGGAATCAGACAGTCAAAACGAATTTAATGACATTAGGGGTGGGCACGGGTCGGGACGGTTCGGGTTTCTTACGATCCCGCGTCCTGTCCCGTTATATTCAAACGGTTCGGAACGGTTCGAACCACAAGGCTATCCTACTTTGTCCCATAATTTTCGGGACCGGGACAAAACGGAACGGATTCGGATTGTCCTACTTTTTCCTAATTTTAGGACAATAATAAAAATTGAAAATACAAAGATTGAAAATAAATGCTACAACAATGTCAACAAGTATTAATTGTTAAGTACTCAAAGTGTTTCACGAGATACGTACGGAGTAATATATGTGTGTTTATATATATATATATATAATGTTTTTAGAAGAGTATATAAAACGGGACAAACGGGATGGAACGGTACACTTGTATGTTATATATACATATATATATATATATATATATATATATATATATATATATATATATATATATATATATATATATATATATATATATATATATATATATATAATGTTTTTAGAAGAGTATATAAAACGGGACAAACGGGATGGAACGGTACACTTGTATGTTATCCCGGTAATGTCCCACTTAAAATCGGGACAGAACGGGTTCGGGACAAAAAAATTTGAATCCAAAAAAAAAGGTACAATTTCAAAACGGTTCCGGCACGTTTCGGAACGGGTCAACGGGAACGGTTTTCGTGCCCGCCCCTAAATGACATGTTCAAATAATTTTTCTAGGAACTTTACTTTTAAACTTTTGGGTCCACCCTAACCATTAATTAATTTATTTAATTAATGTTGAGAGGTCCGTTATTAAAACATCTTTTTATATTAAAATACCTTTGCTTTGGAAAGCCATTTAAAGAGATCGAAATCTCAATATTTATTAATTTAAAATAATGAGTCTCAATAAATATATAATATTTATTTATTTAAAACTAGGCCGGTTTGAAGGCGTTACAATTATCTCCCTCTTAAAGGAATTTCGTGCCTGAAATTTTCCTCAAGTCACACCTCACGTGTTTAGGAAGATAGTGCGTTACCCAAAACTTTGTTTTGTGAAGCATATGAGGGCGTAATAGATTAGAGACCAATTGATAGCGATGTGCACATTGGTAGCGCTCTTTCGAATCATAACTTTGCCTCTTTTTCTTTCGTCTCTTACCAAGCACGAAGGTTCGACTGGAGTCAACACTTGACACGCTTCTAGTACTAATGGTACTCATCTAACAATCGCAGAGTATCAAAATGGGAACAAGTGAGCGCATAACACAGTTAGTTTGACGCTTCATTGTGCGCTCACGTGCTCAGGCACTCCAATGTGGATCTACCTATCTGTCATTGCCTACTGCTTGGCTCATTCTCTATAAGAAGAGCTTAAATCAGAACTAATTACAATATAACATATAAGTGTATTAAATAACGGTGTACCTTTCCTTGGAAGTGGTGTGATGGGAGATGCGGCTGTGGACTTTTGAAAATACTCTTTGACTAAGATGACAAAATATGTTTTTTTCACAAAACCAAACATCTCTGATACCAAATTGTAACACCCGCCTTCCGTGGACCCGGTTCGCCCGCGACCCAACGGACCGGTAGGGTTACATGGGCGATCCGAGAACCGTCCGTAAAGAAAAACGCATTAATGTCTATTTATTGTGAAAACGGTTGAGTTTAATTGGTGAAATAAATGCTAGGGAGTTAATCCCAGAACGTGTGTGATATAAATACAGAGTAGAAGCGGAAGTAAATAAATAAGTCCAAAATAAGTAAAACGACATTTGATGGGTTCTTACCCAAATGATTAATTTATTTCAAATGATTATAATTATTAAACTCGTCCGTGCGCCGCCCATCTTCCCATCATCACTGTCCTCCAGGGTTAGCACCGGTACCGACATGTCTACCTGCGTGTAGCAAAAACAACTACACGCTCAGCAAAAGCTGAGGAGTGAATCTAACAAAAGAACATTAAGTGATAACCCATATGGTTATACACATATTAATACCTGTACTTTAACGTACGGAAAACCACATGTTTACTAACTGGTTAATTTGCACTTGATGGGATATTATTACACATAACAAATGAATAACAACCACATTGAATGTTGATGTGACGTGGAACATACATGATGATGACGACCACATTGAATGTTGACATGACATGGAACACACATGATGACGATATGACTTGATGCATGACATAAACTATCAGGAACACCCCTGACTTAGTCTCACTTGACAGGATCACCCCTGCACTCCGGTAATGAGCCGGGCTCGACAAAAATGTCGCAAGTGAACTAGCAAAACTGGGTGGTAGCCGTAGCCTGACTACCATGTACGTACACAAAGCCCACCTGATGAAAACCCGTTGGATCCCGAAGGTTCCTGGACGGGCACACTGTAGTAGGTGCACGGAAGCCTGACCTCCCTACAGCAGTATGCACATGATGATGAACCTAGTACATGGGTCTAGGATGAACATGATGAACGCTTGATATATTTACCTTTGGTCAACGCCAAGAATATATCAATTAAACAACATTTATAATGAAGATTAATATTCCATACAAACATATAGTCAGTTTGGTCAACGGGGCTCGTTCTACAAACTGCCAGGAATTCTGCCCGCGGAACGGTCGACCGTACCCTACCGGCGGTCGACCGTGGGCTACGTTGTAACACCCCAACCCTCGTGACCCGAATACAAGGACCAGCAGACCGGGTTGTCACTAGATTGGCATTCAAACACAATAATTTTCAAAACAATTTAAAATATTTAATTCAAAACGATATTTAATTATCCATCAGAGTAAATCAAAACGGTGCGGAAGCCTTTAAGTACTTAGATCAAAATGCAAGTTTGGGTTCTTGCCCTTAAAACATAATAAATTTAAATACTATAATAAATAAACTAGATAAGTCCTCCAGCCAGCATCCATCCATCCTCTCTGCCCTCGCTGCCTTCCAGGATAGTTCCTCATTCATCATTCATGTTACCTACGTGTAGCAAATAAGAAAAAGGGCTACACGCTCCGCATTGAAGGTTCCACCCAACCGGCGCCGTAGGTACCGAGTTGACTAGAATCATGGCCGTAGGTAGTGGTTCTGATGTCATAGTATAGACTTTGAGTCATGGCCGTAGGTAGTGGCTCTAAGTCCTAAGATAAGAATGTGGATAATGAGGAATTGGCCTTAGCCTAGTATTTGATATGAGCTAGTATTTGATATGAGCTATTGTAAGAACTTGAATGTTGAATTTATAACTTATGCAGCTGAAGAATTGAGGTGAGTAACATGTTGCGTGAATTATTGNCTCAAAGTCTATACTATGACATCAGAACCACTACCTACGGCCATGATTCTAGTCAACTCGGTACCTACGGCGCCGGTTGGGTGGAACCTCCAATCCTACGGATCAGATCCCAGATTCCATGTACGTACATCTTTACCCGAATGCCACTGGACTAAGTCCACAAGGCTCTACCCCTATTGTCAACTTACAATCTCAATTCTCACAAAGTAGTCCTAGAGTTCTTCTAGGTAACCTACGTCACTAACCTACTTTAATTATTCAGATCCAAGCTAACACCAATCTCAATTTACTTTATCCTTTTAAGGCATATCACACCACATTTACAACAAATCAAGAGAGTAGAAGTAGCTAAATAAATCATCATGCAATCCAAATAGCGGCATAATGTCGGGTGTAAACACCTTCCATTTACCGTCATGCAACACATAAGGGCTCAGAGTCAATTCGGGTTCCAAATCAGGTCAAACAGTCAAACAACGGAGATTTGCAGTTGTCGGTACAGTACCCGTCACGGTACCTCGGTACCGTTTGGCGGTACCTTGGTACCGTCGGTACGGTACCGTCCGACCGTCGCTCATAGATACCGTCAGCAGCAACGAACTAGAGGCGGTAGCTGGGTACCGTTTGGACGGTACCAGACTACCGTCCGGGATCGGGAGTGTAC